CAGGAGGGTGTCCTACTAAAACTTTCCCAAAGCTTCCCTCGGGAAGGTTTCAGGAGGGCTTCCTCCTAAAAACTGTCTCCAAACACCCTCATGCAGGTTTTCGGGAGGTGTAATCCTCAAAAACGTCCCGCACACTTTTCCCAGGAAGGTTTCAGGAGGGTGTCTTTCAAAGAGCCTTCCAAAAACGTGCCTCAGGATTTCGAGATGGGCTTTGGAGGACTCCTGTTAAAAACCTTCGGACACTTTCCTTCAGAAGGTTTCTGGAAGGTTGTTTGAATGGGCTTGGAAGGTTGATTGGAAGGTTGTTGATGTTTTTTGTCAGAGGCGTTTGGAAATTTGTTTGGAAGGTTGTTGTGAGGTTGCTGGAAGGTGTTGGTGGCCGGTTGTGGCAAGTTCTTTGAAAGGTGTTTGGGGAACCTTCAAAGACCTTCCTTTCCTCGCCCCCTCCCTGGAGCACGGGAAAACTTGCCAAAAACCTTCCAGAAATCATTCTCAGGAAGAATCCAGAGGGGATTCCCACGAACTGCCGCACGGGCCTCCTACAGTGCCGATTGACGGCATGATTGAAGATTGAGTGGAGGAGAGAAGAGGGGAGAGGGAGAGGACCCGGGACGGTGTTGAAGTGTCTAGGCGGTGCATCCGGCTTGATATAGTACGCGCCCGCTGCACGAAACCGTACTTGTTAATACAATGCGGGACGCGCGCGCGTGCCGCCTCGCGCACGTGTCGACATTTTTCCAAAACTATCTGTCTCCGATGCGTTTCAAGCGATAGTTTTCCAGACGCAGATTAAAGCCGCGTGCTTTCCAGCAGCAAGATTGCCAGTATTCTTGCACATCCGCGCGCGCACTTGCTCACCATCACCCTCACCAGCGCCACCGTATCACAGCTGGCATTGTCATCTTCAGTCACCGCCATTGTCGCCATCACCAGTCAGTCACCTTCATGACTTCTACATGCGCATCACCCCCGTCACCATCATCGGCGCCGTCATTGGCCTTGCCGTCGCCGTTATCTTTGCCACCATTGTCGTTAGTACCCTCTTACTTGCCGCCGTTGCCGATGTCATCACGACACCGCGCGCGCCCGAGTCACCGACCCGCAATGAAGTGCCCGCGGCCTGTGAGCATCGCTGGGAAGTTATCGATCGCGCCATGGCGGCCGCGTCGGTTATGCCAAGCCAGCTGGCCTCTTTGCGCGCCTGCTTGCGCGCGCCAGCGCAGCCGCGGAGATGCGCCAGCTATTTCCAAGTTGTCACTGCCATCGCGGCATGCGTTGGTTGTGCAGCACAAGTGGCGGGTGGGAGAATGGGGTGATTGCGCGAGCAGTCGGGTTGACGGTTTGGAGCTTTGCACGGTGGATTGCACCACGCACATATATATATATATATATATATATATGTATTCCTCTTCCTATATTTTTATAAGCCCGGGCGGGGGGAAAACCCGTCACCCCCCCAAAAAAAAACCGGACTCCCGGGATCTGGGGCTTTGGGACCTTCCAGATGGGCCTCGAAGTGGCCACCGGGCCTCACATGGCATTTTGCCAAACCTTCCCAGCACACCTAGGGCGATCAGGGGGTTCATCGGAGACGTCCTAGAGACCCCCAAGACAGCACAAGAGCGCTCCAAGAGTGACCGACGTGACCTCAAGATGGCCCAAGAGGCCTCCAGGACGGCCCCAAAGAGGCCTCCAAGAGCACTACCAAGAAGGCCCCCCGAGGCAAAAATCATTGATTTTCTGTTGGTTTTTGGTGAATTTTAGGGTTCTCCTCTTTTCGGCTTCCCGACGCTCCAAGACGGCGGTCTTCTGGGCGTCCGAAGCCGCCTGGGAGGCTCCAAACTCGCCCCACAACCATCCGAAAGGTCTGCCAGGCAGTCGAAGAGAGCCCCCAAACGGCACAACACGTGTCCGAGATGGCTCTCAGAGAGCCCTATGGCGGCCCGATATGGCCCAAAGACACCTTCCGAAGAATTCCAAATCGTGATTCGGTCGTTCAGGGAGACCGCGGTTGGAGGCAGGGTGGCCCAAGGAAGCCCCCGGAGGCCCCCAGAATACGCCCAGGAGGTCTCCAGACGGCCTTAAGAAAGCCTGAATTATCTTTTGTGAGGCCCCTAGAGGCTCTCTAAGGAGGAGCCTCCGCAAGAAAGAGCTGATGAGGATGGGGAGAATGCGCAGGGCATGGCGAAAATAAGAAATAATAAGCATGGAGGAAGGATAACGAATAACATTATTATAGCGGCGATGCCAGAAAAGGCAACCAAGAGTTATCGCTAAATTGTCGGCTTGACCTTCCTGCTATTCCGCCTGCATACCAAACTTCAAGGACCAAGGTGCATGGCGCGAAGCGCCACTGCAGTCTTGTATATCTATATCTATATATATATATATATATATCGCAGCACGAATCGCGTGCACGACACGGTGTGCACCGCACATCCAGCTGCCTGCGGCGAGTCGCAGTACCGTGCCAGCCCAGCATGGTGGGGGTCAGGGAACGCTTTGACCTTGGAGGAGGGAGGAGGGAGGAGGGAGGAGGGAGGAGGGAGGAGGGAGCGCTCATTGGGGTTACCTTGCGGGGGCCTCGGCCGCCTGTGGGGCGGTCTTGGGGGTCCCCCTGGGGCCGTCTCTTGGGACTCTCGTCGGCCGTGCTCGGGCACTGCGAGGCGTGTTTCGGGTTCCTGTGGGCCCTCGTGGGGCCCTCTTTGTCGGGGGAGCGTAAGACCCGGGTTTGCCAGGACTCGGGTTCGCCATCGTTTTTTGACGACCGCGACTCGGATTTTGACGAGTAGGAGTTTCGTTGGATGTCTGCAGCGGGAGGCCTCGTCAAAATGCAGGCTCGGCCTCGTCATTTTTTTGACGACCTCGTCGGGGATTTCCGAGTCCCCCGTAACCGGGTCTTACGTCTCCCCGACTTTGGCCCTCCTGGCAGCATTCGGGGCGCATTGGGCTGTCGTGACCCGCTTTGGGCCGTCGGCGAGCTTTGACACGGGCCGTCTGCGGTGCTTCTGGCTGCTGTATTGGGCCGGCTGCAGGCAGTCTTGGGTGCATCGCGGGCCAGCGTGGGGTCTTTGAGGCCTTCTTGGGCCGTTTTGGGGCCATTGGAGGAGAACGCGCTGATGACGATGGGGTAACGAGCGCGTAAAAGGAGGAGCACGGTAGACTGCTTTCATACAGAGGAATTGTGCGTTGATGTCTGGGGTATTTGGCGAATCAACCACATGCGGTCTTACGGTTGCAGAACGGGGTAGAAGAAGAGTAAGAGGAACGCCGTCGCATGTGTCACCGTTCCTTCGGGTATTTTATTGGGCTCATTTTGGTTGTCCTGTTGCTATCTTGGCCTGCTTTAGGGCAGCCGGGGGGTTCCCGTGGCGCCGTCTTGGAGCTCTCTTCGGCCGTCTTGGGTCTCTGTTAGGCCGTTTGGGGGCTCTCCTGGGCCGTGTTGGGGCCTTCGTGGCCCTACATGGGTCCATAGGGCCGTCGTGAGCCGTCCTGGGCCGTTGGGGAGCTTTCTAAGGCCGTATTGAGTGTCGTCGGAGGTCTTGTTGGGCGGCCTTTTGGGACCGTGTTGGATACCCCGTGGGCCATCGTGGAGTTATCCTTTTTTGTATTGGCCATCTTGCGCTCTCTTGGGGGCTCTTGAGCCGTCTTGGGACTGTCTTGCGCCGCTTTTGGTCTCGCTTTGGCCACCGTTTGGTGTATGGTTGGGTCGTCTTGGACAATTAAATGGGCCCTCTGAGTCCTCTGAGCCCGTCTGAGATCTCAGGGGAGGAGCCGTACTGGATGCTTCCTGAGGTACCGTGGGGTCTTCTTGGGCCATCTTGGGATCCTTTTGGGTGCCTCTGGGGTCGCGTCGGAGCCATCGTGAAGGCGGCGTTGCCCGTCTTGAGTTGATGTTAGCGGGTAGAGGCGAACACTCAAAGATAATATACAAGCACCCAGCGGCAAGTCGTGGTTGCGGTTTCCTTCGAACCTCGCTGGAGGTCATTGTGTGGCTCTCATGGAGGCACCGTGGGCCGCCCTGCAGCCATGTGGGGCCGCCTTGGAGCCACCTTCTGCCGTCTCCGAGACATCGTGGGCCACCTTGGTTGCCTTGGTTGCCTGTCTGGCAGGAGGGGAAAAAACACACACAGACACAATGAATCGTCGATTCCCCGGAAAATATGGGAAAATATGGGAAGTGGGGGGGAAGACGAACACCCAGAAAATATAGGAAACTATGGGGAATCATTTTATTTGTGTGTATTTATTTGTGTGTCCCAGGGCCCCTTCAGTCTGGGCCATCTTGGAAACTCGGGACGCGGACACATTGTTTCGATGGATCGTGGCCTCGGGAGCAGCTGCGATGCACGCAGCAGTCTGCGACTAGGGGAGGGTGGCTCCTGACTTAGAAAACCGAAAGCACTGCCAAGCAGCACTTGGCATTTTGCCACGTCTCAGCGCGCCAGGGGACACGGTGGCGGATCGCGTGCACCGCATCGTTTGCACCACGCGTTGCGTGCAGCGCCCATAGTTTGCACCACATGCCGTGAACCACCTACGTTTGTCACACACACACACCCAAAGTGCAATAACTCTCTGTTTGGGGCCCACGCTGGTAAAGAGTTATGGTTTGACCATTTGCCACGGGATGGTGCACATGCAGAAGATTCCGACACGTACGCACGCTGAGTCCGTATGGCATTGTTCTATGTGATATGCTACAACACGCATTTGCAACATCAACGCACGTGTGCCGCATGGCTTGGGGTGCCTGTTGAGGCAAGCTGGTGCTACCTTTCAGTCGGGCATGTCCCTCTACAGGAGGAATATTCGGGAGTAGACAGATAGTCTGGGGACGATGTTTTGATTGTTCTTGATTGTTTTTGCACGATGTTTCATTTTTCTTCCACAGCCTGCCCGTAGGAGGACATGCCCGACCTAAGACTGCCTGGGGGGGACCTGTCTGCGCGCACCCCGAAGCCCTGCCATCCATGGCCTCTCGGCTTCCGCCCCGCCAGCGTGTACGGGTCGCTGCACGCCGTGCAGTCGTCGCTCGACCAGGAGGCGTCCGACCTGCGGCAGCTGCAGGAGGCGCACCGCCAGATGGACGAGGAACTCCACAGGCCCCCCCGCCTTCTGCCCCGGGGGGGCCTCGCATGAACACCTCACCGTTAGACTAGACGTAGGAGTGATCTTTCGCCGGAATGACTCTTGGTGCGGGCCAAATTGGGTCCCCCGATCGCCGGACGCTGGGCGGCAGTGGCGTTTTGCGCGCTCGGGTGTGGCATGCCCGCGGCCTCCAGAAAACCACGCACCAAAGGTCACTCTTACCCAGGGCCACTCTTTGCGTGTGCCTAAACCATCACCATCATCATGATGATCATGATAATCCTCATCATCAGCATCATCATGATTAAAAAACAAATCGTCATCGCCATCGTCATCATCAGCATCAACGTAAGCACCAACAGCGTCAGCATCATAATCAGCGTCGTTATTATCGTCATCATGATGATCATAATCACCATCGTCACCATCATCATCATCATCATCATCATCAGCAGCAGCAGCAGCATCATCATCATCATCATCATCATCCGTAGCCATGTTGGCTCAAGGTTATAATGTACCTCGGCAGTATAGCCTTGGTCGCAGCCGACGGGGAGGCCCGAGCAACTTCCAGGGAGGCGCCTGGACTGTTCCTCCCACTTCGCACCTCTCGGCGCCGTTCCACCCAGATCTGAGCAGAGCAAAGTCCATGACCAGCGCTCAGATGCAGGCGATGCTCAACACCCTCCAGACGGAGCTTGGCAGGAAGATGGATGCCGCACAGGCAGCCACGGATCTGAAGCTCGACAATCTGATGGGCCTCCACGATGGCCTGTCTGGAGAGATGAAGACCATGGAGGCCAAGCTCGACCAGAAGGTTGCCGAGATTAACATGTCCCTGGGAGAGCTGCGTTCACAGGTCAATGCATCACGCGCGGCGAGCTCATGTACGGCGTCCAGTGATGGTTCAACACTAGGATTCACTCGTATGGCAGGCGGAGATGGTAAGCTACGGCGTGGAGAAGCCAGACCAAGTGATCCATGCAAGAGATTCATCGGCACCTTCCCGCGCACATTGTTGGGCAAACGAATGGAGATGCACTGGAATACCACGATAGTGCCAAATCTACCGCGGGATGTGATTGAGGGCTGCAACACCAAATTCTCGGGGTCTGCAAAGAGCTACCAGCTTGTCTTCACCAACGAGCTCCTGGCGAAACGATTCCAGGATCTCATCTCGGAGGTTGACATCGACTGGGTTGACCGTCGCACTCGAGTCTCTCACAACATTCGCAGTCGTGCAGATCTGCCTCTGGATGTTCGTGCCAAACAGCGCGCGGCCTCTGTCATCTACGGCAAGACTCTGGAGCTCCTGAAGGCCGGCCCTCATGGTGATGTGATGTCCCACTGCAGGCTGGGCGTCAACGGCTACCAGGGCCTCATCAACCTGTACACCGACGATGAGGTATGGGAACTATTCACGATCCGTGGTAATGAGCAATGCGGCTACACCTTCGACCCGAACACGACGAACCTTGAGAACTGGGGAGTGAGCAGGGACAAGGTTGAGGAATTGCTGGCCTCGGTCACCAAAGACCCACGGCTTTTTGGCAACTAGAAGGGGCTGCTGCTGCACCATCGACCACAGAAGATCGACCTGACCATTTTGGCCCATGCACGGCTATGGGGAGCCGTGCTGCTTCCGCTTCTCCTTCCTCCCCATCGGCATCGGCCTCGACTCTGGCTACGAGTAGCCCTGGGGCCGTCAGTGACAGGCAAGCATGTGCTCTTCGCTCTGTGCCTTTTGCCCTCTCCTCTCTGTCTCTCGTGACCTGGAATGCCCAGGCTCTTACAAATCTAAGCAGTTGTATAGACTTACCAAACAACACGATATTGTGGCTATTCAAGAATCTCATGGCGATACTACTGATACTGACACCCTCATTCGTAAGCTACCCTATCATCGTCTTTTCCCGTCGTATTGTCCTAGTGTTGCTGCTGGTGGATGTCTCACGATCGTGCACGAGCGCGTGTGCGGGTTGTCCAACCAGCTCTGGCTTGAAGAAGTTGCCCACGGCAGGCTTACTATTCTCCACATGCGTTCTTGCGAGCAGGCTATGGCAGTAGCGAGTGCGCATCTAGATCCCGCTCTACCCTTCTCCCACAAGAAAGCGTTCCTTCAGCAGCTGAACCGTCGCCTTCCCCCACCGTCTCGCTGTGCTAACTATATCCGGGGTGATTTCAATATTTCGGAAGTTGGCGAGGTCCGTCAACGTCTGGATGGCAAAGCTTGAGAATGCAACTCTGGCCTGGCTAGATTGTTCTTGGAGCAGTTTCCTGGATATACTGAGCTGTGCCAAACGGACCCCACCCATAGGACATGCCAACAGGGGAACATCACGCCTGTCGCCCGACTGGACAGGATATACTGTTCACTGTATGCTGAAGAGATTCTCGACCTGTGTCCTCTTGCAGGAGTATCGCGCGGAGTCTTTGATTGTCAGCTTCCGAGTGACAATGCCCCAGTATTTTGTGCACTACGGCATCCGGAAGTTAAATGTACTCCGCGCATTCCGTCGTGGGTGAGTCAATCGCCCCTATTTGCTAAGTGGCTTGAAGCAGAGCTTCGAGAAGTTGATTTGTCAACGCGCCCGCCTACCCGCCTGGGGGAGGTTAAAACCCTTCTGTTTTCGGTGTCCAGGAGAGTTCAGCGGAAGAAAGAGATTCTGGGACCTGAGACCGACCTGGAAAAAATTAGCTGGCGTTCAGCTCTGGTCCGAGGGGTTCGACGTGGACAAACTCGATTGGCCCAGAGGGCGGTGGCTGCGTATCAGGTGCTGCAGCATTTTTTCTGTTCGGAGGCGTGGGGGTGGATTGATCGGGAAGGGCTCCATCTCCATCTTGCTTCTCTGTATTCTCGGCACTATAACAGGATGGAGGAGGAGATTCTGAATTCACCTGCTCCATTTAAAGTACGTGACGGGCGGGTTGCTCGAATTCGCGAGCTTGCTGCAGCATGGTCTCCCTCGCACAAGCGGATCGCGCTTCAGGCTAGCACGGGCCAGTTTGGCACCCAGCATCACGACCCGCAGATTTGCGCGCGCATCCTTGCTCGGTACTGGGGGAAAGTGTCAGCTCACCAGCCTGTTGCAGTGGATCGTTTTCCTCGATTTCTTGCCCACGTTCAACCTGCCCCTTCTGATGTACAGTGGCAGGTCTCATTCACGGACTTTCAAAGACTTGCTCGCCAAATGTCGCGACCCGTCCCCGGGTGGGGATGGGGTGCCCTATAGTGCTTGGCAGAACGGAGGTGACCTTGCCCAGCTAGCGTTATTTGATATGTATCTAGTCGTATGTGAAGGTAACCCTGTTCCAGCCGATTTCGTGGAGAGCATTGCTGTCTTCCTTCCGAAAGGGGACCTCGGGGATCAACTCGAACAGGTACGTAATCCTGAAGCTGCGCGTCCCCTAGCATTGTCTAACACCGACTGCAAGGTCATCGCCGCCTGTCTCGCATGGCCGATGGCGGACTATGCCGCGCGCTGTGTCCACCAGTGTCAACAGGCTTTGCGCGAGGCCGCCAGCTGCTGGACAATGTTTTTTTCATTTAGATGCGCAGCTATACATCTGGTCAGTATTAGAGGGGAGCCAGGATGCTGGAGCAGCCTTCCTGGACGTAAAGGCGGCCTTCCCGAGTATTTCGCACGAGTGGACCTTTGCTGTCTTGGAGGCAGCCCAGCTTCCTTCGTGGTATGTTCATGCGGTGAAGAATAGGTATTCTGGCGTTTGTGTGCGGGTCCGCTTCCGCGGGTGCCAGGACTAATGTTTTTCCTTGGAGCGTGGGGTGAAACAGGGCTGCCCAATGTCAGGTGTCATATTTGCTGTGGCAACTGACTGTATCAACAGATATGTACTTCAATGTTTGAAGAATGACATGTCTGACTTCCTGGTCTTCGCTGATGGCCAGGGCAATGTCGCGCGCAAGATCTTTATCGTGCTTCCCAATGTCTTTCGCGAGCTTGCACTGGCATCCAGGGTGATTGGTCTTGTTATTCATCCTGAAAAAAAACGTACATTGTTCTTCCTCGGGAATTTGATCTGGACGTGGTCCGCGTGAAGTTTAGGGCTCATGGGCTCCTGGCCGAAAGATTCAAAATCGCGCAGGCCGCGAGGTACCTAGGTATCTACACAGGGTTGAATGCGAGAGAGCTCTCTTGGGCCAAGCCAATTCAGGAACATCAAAAACGTTGCCGTCGCATTCATGGTCTTCAGCTTGGCCTACGTATGAGCATGCTGACGTATAACATCTTCACCCAGCCTGTGTTGAGCTATGTTGCCCAGTGCCACACCGTCACGAACAGTGTGCTGAAGGCAGGTCGAGAAGGGCTTCAGTTGTTCACCGCTGTTCCGAGACACTCATTCAGCCCCGAGATACTATACCAGCTCAAGGACTTTGGGCTGTCTCACCAACCTCGTCCGTTTGCCGCTGTTGCTCACTCTGCTTTATGCCGCGCCGGTCTTCGGAGCGAGGCATTTTAGATGAGGCTACAACAATTTGAACAGATCTTGGCTGGAACGGATTGGGTTGTTGCGTATAGGTGGATGCCATTTTCTCGGGACTCGGTCTTCTTCCTGGTGGTGAATCAGCTTAATCTCCTGGGGACTCAGGGTGATGTGTTCCAGGCTCAGGACCATGACCTCCAGGCCAAGATCTTAGTGGCAAAAATGCACGCTCCGCTTCGATATTGGAATTCTCAGGCGTCTATGGACCAAGCTGGCCGTATCATACTTCAACTCAATATTCTCGCTTCGAAACTCCCCGGCTCGTGCGCTATCGCTACACTCAAAGCGCTCGTTAACGCATGGCCCACCTCTCGTCGATATCGCCAGGGAGCCCAAGCACGTCGGTTCGGATGTCACGCTGTGGGAGGCGACTCTGTAGAGCACTATGTGAGTTGCCCCATAATTCGTCCTGTGCTCACCCGCTGCCTTCCTTTCCTCCCTGCAGAGTGGGGAGACGGGGACCACTTGTCTGCGCTGTTCTTTGCCGATCTCCCATGCCCGTCCAAGTCTCGAATTTGCTCGATTGCCATCGCTTTTGACCTTCTCTTCTCTGCTTTCAACTCCCTCCGCACTCGTCACATAGTGTCATCGGAGGTTGGGGCGCGTGCGCTCGAGAGCCGCCTCAGAGCTCTCTGCACCAGCTCCCGAGTTGCACGGCTGCTGGCTCAGGGGAGGGACCCGTTCCAGCTGCCCGACCAGGCCGCGTAGTTCGCACCGTGCCGCCGCTGCTGCACTGCCGTGGTCATCACCTGCCGTCCGCCGAGTGCTGATCATCATCATCATCATAATCATCATAATCATCATCATAATCATCCTTATCATCATCATTATCGTCATGAGCAGCATTGACATCTTCATCGTTATCGACATCGTCATCATCATCGGCATCGTCACAATCATTGGCAGTATCCTGATTCGCACCATCATCACTATCAGATTCGTAATCACTACCATCATCAAGATCAACACCATCATCATTCTCACCGTCACCATCGTCATCCTCCTCATCAACATCATCTCCAAATCATCATCATCTTCCGCATCATCACCATCAGCAGCAGCATCATCGCCATCATCACCAGCACCATCATCATTGCGACCATCTTCATCATCAACATCATCAGCATCAGTCTTCTCGGCATCAGCAGCATCATCGCCACCATCATTGTCATCGCCATTGCCATCATAGTCATCATCGTCATCGCATTCGTCATCACCTTCATCAACGTCGCCTTCACCAGGGGGCACGTTGCATGACCAGCTTGCCGATCCGCGCCAGGCCCGCCCTTGGGGCCCACGCTGCCCTGGAGACAGAGGGCAGTTCGAGTCGTCGATCTGCGTGCTCTCGTCGCCTTCGGTTTCCGTCGCCGTTCGTCTCCGTGGGAGGATCAGTGCCTCGGCACCTCGTTAGGCCCTCCTGGCTTGGCCAGAGAGGCTTGAGGATAGATAGACTTAGACAGTCCAGGTGTGGCTAGGGACTGGTCCCCTCCCGCCCCTCCCAGAGCAACCGCCGAACTTCCGAAACCTTCCCGAGGCCTTCCGAAATCCCTCCCCGAAGGTTTCCGGGAGGCTTTTCGAAGGGTTCCGGAAGGGTTGGTCGGGCGTTGCGTGATGGGGGGCGATAACCCTGACCTTCCAGGAGGGCTAAAACATAACACCAGGGCATCGGCGTCCTAATTCCTCTCGAGCTTTGAGGCAGTCCAGATAGACACAGGTCTGGAGTGCTATGTTATAGCACTCTGGAAGGTCAGGGGAATCGGCGGGGGGGAGAGAGGTGCGCCCCTTGTGCCACAGAGGGGCCCCCTTGGGGCCCCCTTGGGGCCCAACAGGGGCAGGAGAGGCGCACGCATCTCCCCCCTCCCACCCCTTCGAGCGACGGAGAACGAGGGTCGCCTGCGCCTACAATCGTGCGCAAGATGTCCGCGTAAGGTCGGGGTGGCCCAGGAGGAGGTCCAGCTGAAAGGGGGTGGTGCAATCGAGTTGGGGCATTTGTATTGCAGATGCACTGCGCCAGAGAATCGTACTGCACTGTGTTGCAAGTGGTGTCTTGCATGCGAAAATAATGCAACACATCTGCGCCCCGCAATGTACTGAGAGCCCCAGATGTATTGCAACCCCGCGCATCTATTGCACCAGAACTATTGCACCACCCCCTTGTCGCTGGACCCCCTTTTGGGTAAACCCGAATAAGGTCGCGCGTAAACCTCCTCGTCTCCAATGTAGCGTGCCGCGTTGGCGGCCCGCGTAAGCAACCGCGTAATGTCGCTATGTCATCTGGCGTGTGACCCCGTCGATCATTTATCGCCCCCCCCCGTTGTGCAACGCCCCGTTTGGGTCGTGTCCTGGGGGAGACCAGTCGCGATCGAAGGCTGGACACTTACACAGGGCTAGGACGAGAATAATCCGTTCCAGAGCGTTCTGGAACGCTCTCAGAGCGTAATTTACGATTGTGCATTTGCGGACTTAAACTGAAATCGAGCGGAGTGTGAACCGTTAACGTCCCAGATTAACGTCAGTTTTTAGAGGTCCGCGCGGGTTTCTTGAATCGGCCCTCGATCCACCAAGTCCCACCTCTTTCTCACGCAGCACGCCAGGGGCGGCGCCAGAGGCGCCGCCAGGGTGGTCCAGCGCCGATCCCAGGAATCCGCACGGGCCTTCGACTGTTTATGTTTATGGAGCGTTGCTGTTCCTCCGCGCTGCTCCCCCAGACTTCTCCCAGGATGCCATCCGACGAAGCCTTCGCGGCGCCTGCAGCCGTGGGTGGCGACGAGGTGCCCGCAGGAGGCCCCGGAAAGGAGAGGCGAGGGCGAGGGCAGCGGTGGCAGCCCAGTCAGCCCGCATGATAGGGATGGGCATCCTTCCCAAGGGCACCCTTGCTTCCTTGCCTCCTCGGTCCAGCGCCCCGCCCGAAAAGCTAGGAAATGGGCGTCCAAGGCCCTTGCAACCTTATCGCGCATCTTTACGACGATACGGGCCAACTGTACCCTCTCCCCCTCCGAGCACAACCCAGAGGTTGACCTTGTTGACCTGACGCCTCAGCACCGCAGTCGACTACATGTTAACAGAGTGACCTTCCGCCAGGGTCACCATTCGGTGCGGGCCCAGTGGGGCCACCCGATCTCTGAACGCGAAGCGGTAACAGCGGCTTGCGCGCCCTGGGGCCAGGCCGCGCGCCCCTCGAGCCGCGCACCAAGGTCACCATCTTGCGGGCGCGATCGAAGTTCGGTCTGGAAAGAAGGGGTACGAAGACCAACAGCCGTCCTTGTCCATGTTGAACGGGATTCGTTGTCGCGACGTCGCTGGCGCTGCCCGCTTGAGACAAGCAGTCGCCCGCCCAACGGCGGCTGCCGTCGGTTGTGGGCAGTAGTTGTATTTGTCCATCGTGCCCATGTTTCCGTACCGACCTCGCGCGTCCACCTCTTCCGAACGAGCATCATCTCCATAAGCATGAATTCTCGGAGGTCCGCTCGGATTTCTTGGACCGGCGCTGGAGCCCCCCTTAGCGGCGCCGCCCTTGGCCGCCCTTGGCGCGCCCTTGGCGCGCCAGAGAGAGAGGGCCGAGCGCAGATGCAAGAAATCCGTGCGGAGCTCCGAACGCTCATGTGCACGCTGTGTTTGTTCTACCCTCGTTCCTGCGTGTAGCCGACGCAGGTAGGACTCTTCTGCCCGCGCGCCTCGGTATCGTCTACAGCCAGGACGCCGAAATGAGGAAAAAACTCTGGATTCGGAAGGGGCTCTCGAGGTTCCCTATAGGTCCTTCCGTGGCCGTTCCTGGCCCTCCTCGTGCACCCAAGCTCTTTTTTTTGGAAGCCACCGAGGGGCCTCGCTCCTTCTTCAGCGCTCCTTGCTTCAGTCAACGAGGACAAATCCACCCCGACCCCCATAGCGGCGTTTACTAAACGGCCCCGTCCGTTTACTAAACAGCGCTTTCTTGTTTGATTCCTTCGTCGGGTGCGTTTACTAAACGGTTGCGTTGTCGGGGTGCTTATTATCGGGGTGGATCTCCAGCCCTCTATTCAGCGGCCCGACCGCAAGCCATCCACATGCCCATCGGGCCACGGCCTGCCCCAGCGGGGGCAGCCTCTCGGCCCGGACGCCTTGTCGAACGGGCCCCGGAGGCCGAGAGGTCCGGGCAGCAGCGCCCGGTTGGCAAGGCCGCACCTCCGGCTCTCTGCATCGTTCTGCCCGCGTGCCTCTTGGTCAGGAGCGAAAGAAGGACGTACACGTACATGAATCCACGCTGTTTTCGAGATTTCGCATTCGGCGAATTTTCGTATCACGCGGCCGGTCTCGCGGGTCAAGGGGCCGTGTTCATGTACATAGTTGGGCGCGTACGTCCTTTGTGGGCTCCCTACTTGGGGCGGCCGAATCCGACCCCGGGCAGACCATCCCCAGCCGCGACGTGCCCCTCGCCTCGCCCCGAGACGCACGTCACGTGCGCGGCCGGAGGGGCGCGCGAGGGGCGAGAGTGCCGTCACGGGAGGGGACGGCCTGCCAGGGGGGGTCGGTGAGGCCCCCCCGCCCCGCACGCCGGCGCCGCCAGGCTGCGGCAGGAGGTCTCCAACGCCACCGCGGCCGTGGCCCGGCGCGACGCGGCGATGGGCCGCTCCGAGGAGGCCCCCCCCCCCCGGCGCGCCGAGCCGCGCGGACGGCGGCGGCCGCGGCGCCGTTCGCTGCACCGCGGGTCCAACCGTTTGACGTTGAGCGGAGGTAGGTTCAGCGCCGGAGAAAGGTAATTACCCATATCGCTAGCCCTCCCTCGTTTTCGCCTTTTGGGGCCTCCTGGGAGGCCCTCGTCGCCACCGCCGGGTTCGCCTGGAAATCTTGGTCGGAACGCACCCCAGGAGAGATCCGGGGAGTAGCGATATCGGGACCTTTTGGTTTCCCCAGGTAGGGTGGGGTAGGTGGTGGCCTGTCCTGTCTTGTCTAGGGCGGCAGATGCCCCATGGCCCATGGACATGAGGACAGAGCAGCGAGAGCCCCAAACGCCGTCACGGCATCCAGCTTGCGGCCACGGAGTGCAGTTACTCGAAGAAGAGAAAACGCTATAAACATAGATTTAAGGCGCTCCGCGCGGATTTCTTGGATCCGCAGAGAGCTCGCATGGCGGCCCCATTGGAAAGTTCGCATGGCGCCCTCGGGCCAATTCGGCGCACCCCTCACGAGGATCGTGGCCACATAGGGAGCCCCACCGAAGGCCCCAGTGAGAAAGTTCGCATGGCGCCCTCGGGCCAGTTCGGCGCACCCCTCACGAGGATCGTGGCCCCATAGGGAGCCCCACCGAAGGCCCCAGTGGGAAAGTTCGCATGGCGGCCCCGCCCCGGTTCGGCGCACCCCTCGGGAGGATCGTGGCCCCATAGGGACCCCCATCGAACATGATTGTCACGACTGCGGTACTCACAGCTGCATATGGTTGGGTCCTCCGCCAGGCTAATGTTTTGCGATGTTGCAGTTCAATGGTTGGGCAACGTGAGATCCGAGGGCACTTTGGTCGGACGAGAGGCTCGCTCGGCAGTCCTCCAGCCGCAGGGTGCTCTGCAGCAGCTGCGCCTCGCAGAGCGGGCTCCGGGGTTGCCCGGATCGTCCCGAACGGCCGCCGGAGAGGCCCGAGCGGCCGCCCGAAGGCCAGGGGAGGAACATGCGCCGATACCGCTGCCCGTCCCGGAGAGCATTCGTCGCCACGGCTGGATTCTCCTCAGCGTTCTGGTCAGAACGCACCCCAGGAGAGGTACAGGGGAAACCCATGCCAAGGAACAGCCTGCTTGCCTCCAGGGTGCCCTGGGTTTCTTGGGCTTCAAAGGTTTTGCCATGGAAACTGTGACGTTCCCACACCGAGAATCCATAGTCGTCCTGGGGTCTCAGAGTTGGGTATCTTGCCGAAGGCTTCTTGTGGTCGAGCTCCTCCTGTACGCGGAGTGGCGGTGTCGGTTCCCTGGTGTTCCCCGATCCAGCAGTTAGCGCCTCGCCGAGCGCGCCCAGGGGCGGCCTGGATCGTCCCGAGCAGGCGCCAGAGGCCCGTGGGAGGCGCCGGGAAAACCGGCTGCGTGAGCTGTCGGGTCTGAAGAGACGTGGTTCAACCCAGACCCCTTCGCGTCGTGAAAGAATCACGACGGGAGGTGTTTGGCCATTTTCGGCCTCCGTGGTCCCTTACCGGCCTCGGGACCGTCAAAGAACGATTAAGGATGAAATGTCAGTCCTGGGGAAGGGGTCCAGACATCTGGGGATCGACGTTGTGAAACAATCACGACGTCGGGGGTCTGGGAATGCAAGCGGGGGTCAGCCAGAGCGCCAGATCTTGCAGGATCCTGCAGAGCCAGGGGTGCACTGACCCGGGCTGGGGTGCAGGATCTTTGCAGGATTCTGGGGCAGCGGCTGACTGACCAGGGTCTGCATTGACCCGGGTCAGTGCGTCCCCAAAGCTAATTCGCGAAGAACCCCCCCTTTGCCTTGGCATCGCTTGGACGTGTGTACCTAGTCTCGTCGGGGGCCATCGAGGAGCATCTCGGACCAGATTTGGAAAATACACGCACGACATCGCAACACACACGGGAGATGCACGTCCCAGCGATGACCAGTCGTGCTATCTTCTCTCGTCGTCTAGCCAGATGTCCACGGCCCGGGCCGGGCCGAGGCTTCCCGCTGCCGCTGGGTCCAGGACGGAGGTCCGTGGGTCGAGGCAGGGCCCCAGAAGGACGGAGCCCTGAAGGTCGGGAAGGGCCTCCAGGCTTCGAGCAGTTCGGACAGCAGGGGAGCGAAAGATGACATGAGCAGAAAGACTTGGAGGTCCGCGCGGCTTTCTCGGATCGGCGCTCGACCCCCCTCCCTGGCGCGCGGAGCGCGCCAGGGGCGGCGCCCGAGGCGCCGCCAGAGGGGGCCCCAGCGCCGATCCGAAAACTCAGCGCGGACCTCTGAGTTTTTATGTTTATGTCTATTGGTCTTCCCCCTAAGGCCTCCAGGCCCTGGAGATAGGAGAGGGCCCTGAGGCTTGCGCCACCGTCGCTCAGCGTCCGGCCCGATGTCCACGGGCCGGGCCAGGGATCGAGGCTTTTCCCCCGCTGGCATCGGGTGTACGGGGCGGAGGTCCGTGCTGCGGGGGCGGGGCCCGGCGAGGGATGGGGCTCCGGAGATCGTCGAGGACACGGCCTCACCGGGGTCTCCGTCTTCGCATTGACCTCAGGAGGTCCTGAGGTCTGATCCCCCCCTTCTCACTCGGCGGTGAGTAGGGCTGGTCCCAAAACCTCCTCCTCCTCCTCCTCCTCCTCCTCCTCCTCCTCCTCCTCCTCCTCCTCCTCCTCCTCCTCCTCCTCCTCCTCTCCTCCTCCTCCTCCTCCCCCCGCTCCCCCTCCTCCTCCTCCTCCTCCTCCTCCTCCTCCTCCTCCTCCTCCTTCTCATCCTTTCCTCGTCGTTGTTGCGCGGCGGGTGCCGCGGAAACGAATCACTAGATACCTCCTATTGGTGGGATTCCACTACTTCAATAAGGCCGCTGAAAAAATGAGTTGCCCTCTATTTGGGGGGTGTAAAGATTTCTCGCGGTTAGGGATAATACGTAAGTAGATCTAGGCGGTTGGTTTCATACATCTGCAGAACCCCTATCTCTCATGTTTCAGGGCCTCTTAGCTTGGGCCCCGTCCCAAAGGGTTGATCAGGGGTTCTTTTCTAGGCATTCAGAAGATAGGGAAGGGCATCCAGGCCGAATCTGCACTGTTCAAGGCCGCATCGCCCCAGAGCCCCGTGTCTCTAGGGTCGTTGTCCGGGGCCGGCGTCTCATCCGGGGCCAGACCCGAGGCCTGGTGAGGGCCCCCAGAGGCCCGAAATGGCAAGAACCCCCTTTGGCTGTTTCTCCAGGCTGAAGACGATGAAGGAGGAGGAGGAGGAGGAGGAGGAGGAGGAGGCGGCGGAGGAGGAGGAGGATCCGGAGGAGGAGGAGGAGGAGGAGGAGGAGGAGGAGGAGGAGGAGGAGGAGGGGGAGGAGGAGGAGGAGGAGGAGTCTCAGACTGAAGACGAAGGAGCCTTGTACGCAAACATCAATTTTTGGAGGTCCCCGCGGCCGTCCTGGATCCGCGTCGATGCGAAGCGCCCGGGGGGCCGCGCCGCCGGGGGGCCCAGCGCCGACGCCAGACCTCAGCGCGGAGCTGCGACTGTTTACTCCGGCGATCGCAAACACGGATGAAGGGGGCGAGGATTAGCGACGAGTCCCGTTTCCATGGGAGATCGCGGATTTCCGCCGCCCAGTGAAGCGACACCGGCCGCATGTTGGGGCAAACGCCTCCCCCAATCCATGTCTGCGCGCCCCCGATTTACGCGTATGCAGGTTTTTCCTTGTTTCTTCGGCTCCCAGGTGGAAGAAGAAGAAGAAGAAGAAGAATCGGGTCGGGCGAAAGGGGGGGATTGGGAAAGGGGGGGTTACGAAATTTGCTGCATGCAGCTGGTTTCGGCCTCACCGAGGGGCCCGTTCCTCGATACATAGCCGCCTCCGGCTCCGGGAGGCGCTGGGAAAATCAGCTACGTGAGCTGATTCTCAATCCCCCCCTTTCGCCCGACCCGAAAGAAGAAGACGTCGGAGGTCCGCCCCCCGACTGGCCCGGGGCGGCCTCGAGAACCCTGGGGTGCCGATGCCGCCCCGGGCCAGTCCTTCGGCGGGCGCGCGGAGTCCGGCCGGGACTTCTCGGGGGGGCCTCGTTTCAGGAGGAAAAGAAACACACAGACACAATTAATCCTCGATTCTCCAGAAAATATGGGAAAATATGGGAAGTGGGGGGGAAGACAAAAACCCAGAAAATATGGGAAAATATGGGGAATCTTTTTATTTGTGTGTATTTATTTGTGTGTCCCAGTTCCCCTTCATTGTTGAGGGCAGTCGGGGCTGCTTGGGAGCTCTGCTCGCTCGCAACCCGAAGCCTTGCCATGCTCTTGTTCCTCCGTCGGGGCCCCCGCTCTGTGAAGTGCCGGGGATCTGCGATCACTTGTGAGCGCTACCCCTGCGGTCCAAGCGACGCTCGGGGTATCGGACATGCTTGGCTGCAGGCATCCCCGGGATTCTGAAGATTCTGAGAGGGCTCGGGTCAGGGGTAGGGGTCGGGCCAGCATCTCCTGGATTCTACCCCAGGGGAAGGGTTCAAATGAAGTTGCCCAGACAAAAGGAGGGGAAGGGGGAAGGCGGGATTACGAAATCTGCCGCATGCTGCTGGTACGGCCCCGCCCAGCGCGCTTCTCGATACGTGGCCGATCCCGTCTCCAGGAGGCGCCAGGACAACCAGCTGCAACCCTTCTCCCTTTTACCCCTCACCCCTCCTCGGCCTCATCGGTCGCCTCTTCCTCATCCTCTCCTGCCCCTCTTGCCCTCTTGCTCCTCTCCTCCCTCCTCCTCCTCCTCCTCCTCCTCCTCCCTCCTCCTACCTCCTCCCCGTCCTCCTCTCTCCTCCTCCTCCTCCTCCTCCTCCTCCTCCCTCCAACTCCTCCCCCTCCTCCTCCTCTCCTCCTCCCCTCCTCCCCTCCTCCTCCTCCTCCTCCTCCTCCTCCACCTCCTCCTCCTCCTCCTTCCCATCCCTCCCCTCCCTCTCACTCCTCGGCCTCCTCGGCCTCCTCCGCTTCCTCTTCGACCCCCTGCTCTTCCCCCTCCTTCCTCGTCTTCCTTCTCGTCGACGCTGCCTGAGGCCCCGTGGGGCAGGCAGTTCATGCTCGACTCGTAGAGGTGGCAGTCTCGACCAGCTGCCTGGGACGCGCTCGCCTGGGAGGGGGCGCCTCGGAGAGCGCAGAAGAGGGCCGCGTGCCAGCGCCGAGCCCTCTGCCCGGGCCCGGGAGCTGCACGAAGGCGCACGCGAACGTAGAGGAACTCCCACGGGCCTCGACACGCGAAGGTTCGTGAGGCAGTCAGCGCGCCTAGCAAGGCCGCGCACCCTCCTCCAGGGTACCCTTGCGTCCTTGCCTCTGCGGCCCGTCCTTTGCCGTCTTCACTGGTCGCCCGTCGCCCGGAACGTCCCAACTTCGGCCTCCAGGGGCCTCCTCCTCCTCCTCCTCTTTCTCCTCCTCCTCCTCCTCCTCCTACTCCTCCTCCTTTCCTCCTCCTCGCTCCTCCGCCCCTCCTCCTCCTCCTCCCCCCTCCTCCCTCCTCCTCCTCCTCCTCCTCCTCCTCCTCCTGCTCCCTCTCCTCCTCTCCTCCTCCTCCTCCTCCTCCTCACCCCTTCCTCCTCCTCCTCCTCCTCCTCCCTCCTCCTCCTCCTCCTCCTCCTCCTCCTCCTTCTCCTCCTCCTCGCTCCTCCTCCTCCTCCTCCTCCTCCTCCTCTCCTCCTCCTCCTCCCCCCTCCTCCTCATTTCGCTCCTCCTCCTCCTCCTCTCTCTCCTCCTTCCTCCTCCTCCTCCTCTCTCCTCCTCCTCCTCCTCCTCCTCCTCCTCCTCCCCCCCATCACCACTCCTCCCCTCCTCCTCCTCCTCCTCCTCCTTCTCCTGCTCCCTCCTCCTATTCCTCCTCCTCCTCTTCCTCCTCCTCTTCCTTCCCATCCCTCCCCTCCCTCTCACTCCTCGGCCTCCTCCGCTTCCTCTTCGACCCCCTGCTCTTCCCCCTCCTTCCTCGTCTTCCTTCTCGTCGACGCTGCCTGAGGCCCCGTGGGGCAGGCAGTTCATGCTTGACTCGTAGAGGTGGCAGTCTCGACCAGCTGCCTGGGACGCGCTCGCCTGGGAGGGGGCGCCTCGGAGAGCGCAGAAGAGGGCCGCGTGCCAGCGCCGAGCCCTCTGCCCAGGCCCGGGAGCTGCACGAAGGCGCACGCGAACGTAGAGGAACTCCCACGGGCCTCGACACGCGAAGGTTCGTGAGGCAGTCAGCGCGCCTAGCAAGGCCGCGCACCCTCCTCCAGGGTACCCTTGCGTCCTTGCCTCTGCGGCCCGTCCTTTGCCGTCTTCACTGGTCGCCCGTCGCCCGGAACGTCCCAACTTCGGCCTCCAGGGGCCTTGCGTCGTTACCACCCGTCCTAATTCACGTTTTGACTGTACGAGGGGGCGGCGGCCTCGCGAACCGAGGGGGCAAATCCACGTGTACGCGGCGGGGCGCGTGCATCCTTTGGGGGGCTCCCTAATTAAGAGCTTCCGCCATGAAGGACTGCAGCGTTGCAGGCATGCACACGAAAGTCATGGCGTACAGTCGACATTCTCAAAGAAGGACTACTTGGGCTTGCGTAGGATGGGCTCTGGTTTCCGGTCCGTTCCGTAAGTCTAGGTCGGGCCACTCTCTCGGTTGGCCAGAAGGAGCGATTTGGACAGGCGGGGAGGAGTGGGGAGGCGAAGGGGGGGGGAGGCGGGATCAGCAAGGGAGAGGGAGGGCTGGAGGATGCAGGGAGGGGGGGCGCCGTGAGGAAGAGGTGCGGCAGCAGAAGGGCGGCAGAGGCTGCGCCTCCTCTTGGGAAAAGTCGGTGCCAGGTAACATGCAAGAGTGTGCTTGCGGTGGTCCAGCTTGGGGGCGCCTGGAGCCCCATTGGTGGGGCAGAGGCCCGGTGCACAGCCTGGGTGTGCTACCCGAGGATGATACACGTCCTACAACGAGTTCGACGGTCAGCTTGAGCCTCATGGTTGATGTGGCCATGCAGCCAGGCGGATCAAATTCGAAGACCCCTTCTTGGCTCAAGACGGACCGTGGAAAAGACGGAGGACGGGAGGGGGAGGGGGAGGGGGGAGGGGGAGGGGGAGGGGAGGAGAGGAGGAGGAGGAGGAGGTGAGGAGGAGGAGGAGGAGGAGGAGGAGGAGGAGGAGGAGGAGGAGGAGGAGGAGGTCCCCCCCCCACACGCACCCGAACCCTCGAGGCGGCCCGAGCTGCCGCGGCGGACTTGCGCAAGGTCACCGCGCAGCTGGAGGAGGCGGAGGCCGCCGCGCGGGAACTCCGGGAGCGACAGGAGCGGAGGGGCGCCCGTCGTCGTCCTCGTCGCTTTCGCCCTCGCCCTCGTCGTCGCCCTCGCCCTCATTGTCGCCGTCGTTGCCCTCGTCGTCGCCCTCGCCCGCGGAGAATCGCGCCGCAGCGCCGATGCATCGGCGATACATCGGCTATGCACTGGCGACCTCGGCGGTGCATCGGCGACGTCGGCGTGAAGAGAAGTTGGCCCCACATCGCGCCGCGTCGCCGACACCATCGGCGATGCGGCGCGATCCTCCGACGCCTTCTGCTCCGACCCCATCCAGGAGGCCTGGACCACGAGGGCCGACGTCTCCAGAGGGGCCTGGGGAGGCCCGTGGGCCCTCGGCCCCGCACGCGCCGCGCCCGCGCGCCCGAGCAACGCCGCGCGCGGCGGCCGTGCACCCACGGCACCCGCAGAGCCGCAAGAGGCGCAGTCTGGGACACCTCTTGGATCCGTGCTGGGGCTCTCTTGGGCCGTCTGGGCTCTTGGGGGTCTCTGGGGCCGCCTTGTGACGATAGAGGAGTAGGTGAACAAGGAGTAAGGAGTACCAATAGAAGAAAGGGGTAGTCATAAGGACGAGTTGTGTTTGGAGAAGCAGGAGGGGGCACGGAAACTGTTATGGACGAGTTGTGTTTGGAGAAGCATGAGTGTGCAAGAGGGGGATGAAGATACATACAGACACACATATGGTTTACCTTTCATAATATTCATCACTATATAAGGGGAAAGAGGGTGAGAGAGAGAGAGAGAGAGCGAGAGAGAGAGAGAGAAAGAGAGAGAGAGACTACATCTCTATCAATAAAGACATGAATAGAGAGACGGGGGGAGATAGACAGAGAGAGAGAGAGACCGAAGTACCATAGCACAGCATATACATGTACATCTACATATAGGAGGCTGTCTACATACGTGTGAATTCATGTATACCGATACGTGGGCGCATCTACATGTATCTATGTCTATATATATATATACATATGTATACACACTGTCAATCCCGCCCGTCCGCCCACCGTGCTTGAGTTGTCTGTCGGAGGCCCCGTCTGATGTGTGTGTGTGGGGGGGGATTCAGTGGGCGACCTCTAGGAAGCCTCCTGGGGCCTGTGTTGGCGTTGAAGACCCAAGAAGCTGTAATGCCCAAGCCACTCAAAAGAGCAGTGCGTGTTGACCATGTTGGCCTCTGGGGCCGCCTTCCAGGGCCCCCAAGCCGGCCCAGGAGGTGCCCAAAGGGGCTCCAGGGCGGCCCTCGGGGCCGTCCGTCCCCAGCCATGCCGGACGTGCATATCCCGAACAGCGCGCCCTCGGCCTCTGGGTGAGTCACGCGGGACCCCCCAGGAGCGCCCAGGAATCCTGGCCTGTGGGCCCCTCGAAGATTGTTCTTCTGGGGCACTCGCAGGGACTCGTGTATGCACACGCACAGGTTCACCAAGCAGTGTTTGCGCGTAGAGGTTCTTTCTCTTTGGAACCTGGCCCTTGCGCGGCCCCAGTGGCCCCGTTCCCGTCCGTCGCCGCCCCAGTTTCAAAAAGCCAAATACAAGAAAAGTTTGCGGCCCCAGCGGCCCCGTTTCCGCCCGACGCCGCCGCCCCGGTACACTTCTTCCCCCGTCGCATTGCAATCGCATAACAATCGCGTTGCAATCGCACTGCAATCGCAGTACATTGCATTGCATTGCAGTCGCATTGCATTGCAGTCACATTCCATTGCAGTCGCACTGCCTTGCATGGCCTTACATTGTCTGGCATCGGTCTGCCTTCCGTCACAGATCGTTACTTCGCATTTTGTTGTATGGCGGTGCCGTGCATTGCTTCGCATTGATGCGCATTGCTTTAACTTGCTTCGGTTTGTTTTGCAGTGTTTGGAATGTGCTTGACATTGTTTGGCATTGCTTTGCGTTTTGCAATTGCCTTGCGCCACCTAGATTGCGCCACGTCGATTGCACCACACCTAGATAGCACCGCGTATACTGCAATCCATCACGTTAGAGGGTCCTCACTTTGCGACGGGCGTCGACAGAGACAAGAAGCGCGGCGACCGACACCCGGGCCCAGAAGCAGCGGCGACAGACGGCGGCGACGGGCGGCGACGGCGACAGCAAGCCGGCCGGGCCAGCACCTAGGCCCTGTTCTGTTTCCCAGTAGGAATGTTTACGTGCACTCATTGTTATATATACATATATATATAGTAACATGTGCAGAGAGATGCATAGATACACCTATACATAGATGTAAAGAAAGTTATCACGTGCGTGCCCAGGCTCATACAAACACATATGCAGGATGTGCGTGTGTGCGTGTGAAGTGAAAGGTGTGTGTGTGGTTGCGTGTGTCTTGCTTGTTCTGTTTGTGCGTGTTCTGTGTGCTATGTGTGAGCCATGTGTTGATTATGTGCTTGCGTGTTGTGTATGTGTGTCAGATGTGCTGTGTGCGTGGTGCTGCTTGTGTTGGGTGTCGTGTGTGCCCACACCGTGTGTTGTGTGTGCGTGTGTGTGCCTTGTGTGTGTGTGTGTTCCTTGTGGGCTTTGGCTCTGTGTGTGCGTTCTCTGTGTGTTGTGTGCGGTGTGTTCTTGTGTAGTGTGTGTGTGTGAGAGAGAGAGTTCTGTGTGTCCTCTCTCTCTCTCTTTCTGTGTTGCACGTCGGGGCTCGATTTGGGGAGGATGTTTTTGGCGAAACGGTTTCTGTTACTCGCACTGAACGGTGGCTCGCTGTTTGGAGGATTCCCAGGCGCAATTGCAGTGTTCTGAGAACCGGGTTCACAATCATTAAAGCCCGTCGTGTTTCTGACGTTTTTTTTGTCATCTGTTGAAGATCATATGTGTTTCTGTTGACCCTGACGTCACGATCTGATGTCGCGATCTGTGTGACATTTTTGCTGACCCCATGGCTCCAAGTATGGCCCAGCTGAAAGTCCTCATGGCGCACCCGCCCCAAACTCGAAACATCCCTCGCACGTTTCTCTTGGCCCATACGGTGCTCCACCGAGGGCCCCACTGAGGAAGTCCGCATGGAGCCCCAGCCCCAATTCAGCACACCACTCACACGCTTTGTGGCCTCATAGGGAGTTCCACCTGCGGCCCCAGTGGCACAGTCCGCAAGGTTTTCCCGCCCCCAACTCGGCACGTTCCACACACGCTTCCAGCTTCCATGTGGAGCTCCACTCGCAGCCCCAGAAGCCCGCATGGCGTACTGGTACACACGCTGACTTCGGTGCCCCCTTCCACACGCCTGCTGCCCCCAGCCGGAACTTCTACCACGGCCCGAGCGGAGAAGTCGGGGTGAAGTGTCTGCGCCACGGATACCACGGCTGGGGCCATAGAGTCTCCCAGATTTCACTGCCCCTTATTTCGTTCTCAATGAGTCCCATTTGGCCCCATCTCGTCCGCGCACATGCCTCGGGACATGCTGCCCTTGCGTACCCCCTGCTTCTGGTGCCGTCTTGGGCGCATCCGTTTCCAGCACTCCATGTCCGTGGAAGTGTCGGCAGGAAGTGATTTTGTTCAATGGGCGGCCCATGAGGTCCCGACCCTTTCCCCCGAGTCAACTTTTCGGACCGGGTCAATTTTCGATGGCCCCCAGGCCCGGGAGGCCGAAGGCAATGACAGACGCCCAGGCTGCAGGAACCAGATCGTCGTTCCGTGGTCGTCGTTGTCGTCGTCGTCGCCGTCGTCGTCGTCGTCGTCATCGCCGCCGTCGTCGTCGTCGTCGTCGTCGTCGTCTTCGCATCGGCACAGCCGAGAGACTCGTTGGGGCCACCTTGATGTCCTGGCGGCCCGCTCGCGGCGGCGGCGCCGGCGCGCGCCGGCGCCAGGACGCCGCCTCCAGGGCCGCCGACGTCGCGGCCGCGGCGCGGCGGGGCACGAGCGAGAGGCTGGCGGAGGCCGCCGCGAGAGGGCGGAGGAGAGAGGAGTAAGGCCAGCCTGTCCCTCTACAGGGGGAAGATTCAAAAATAGTCAAAAAGTAGTCGGGGTATTATTTAATCGCTTCGCTCATGCCGCCGGCCCTGGAGCCCTCTTTAGGGCCTCTTGGGGGCCTCTTGGGGACCTCTTGGGAGTCTCTTGGGGCTCCTTGGCGGCGTTTTGGAGGCCCCCAGGGCCTCTTGGGGGGCTCTTGGGGGTAGTCGATTGCGGCTCCCCCCTCGGAGGCCACGATCCTCGTGAGGGGTGTCGAAAAATACCCTCCCCTGGAGTGGTCTGGTGGCTTCTCCCGGGCTTCTCTCGGGACCTTGCCGGGGTACTTTTCGTCCGGGGGCCCCCAGGGGCCGCTCCGCGCTCGCGAACTAGAAATATTGTTAACAAGTTACCGGCGAATTTTCTGACTATTTTTGGTCATTTTGGGGTATTCTTGGGGTATTTTTCATTTCTCCTCCAAAATCCCCCTGTAGGGGGGCAGGCCCGACTTACGGATAGGAGGAGGGCGGAGAGGCGGGGCTCATTTCGACTGCTCCGATTCGATACGATTCGATTCCGACGGCTTCCGATTCCGATTCGATTCGGCTTGGGATTCCGATTCGGGCTCCGATTTCTTATTGGGCGCACACTGGCCTGCCAATTTCAGCCGATTCGACATTTCCCGACTCGGCTGCCGATTTCCCCTATCCGACTTTTTTCGATCGCCGATTCGTCTTCCCGATTCGATTCTGGGCTCTCCTGGAGAGGATAGGAGGAGGTGGTGGAGGAGGAGAGGGCGGAGGGTGGAAGAACAGGGAAGGGGGGGAGAGGCGCAGAGAGGAGGTGGAGGAGGTGGAGGAGGAGGAGGTGGAGGAGGAGGAGGGGGAGGAGGGGGAGGAGGGGGAGGAGGAGGAGGAGGAGGAGGAGGAGGAGGAGGAGGAGGAGGAGGAGGTGGAGAATGGTGGAGAATGGTGGAGGCTGGAGGCTGAAGGAGGAGGATGAGGAGGAGAAGGAGGAGGAGAAGGGAGAAGGAGGAGGAATGATAAGGAGGAGTGATGGGGGGAGGGAAGAGGGAGCCCGGGGGAAGGCAAAGCAGGAGGGTGCGGCGGGGTGGGGAAAACGAAAAAGCATGAGGGGAGACGCGACCGAAGCGAGCATGCATCACTGGATTCGGTCGTAGCGGGCGGCAGCGGCGCGGCGACAACACACGGCCTCAGATGATGATGATGATGATGATGATGATGATGATGATGATGATGATGATGATGACGAGAAGGAGGAGGAGGAGGAGGAGGAGGAGGAGGAGGAGCATGAGCACGAGCATGAGGATGAGGATGACGATGACGGTCATGGTGGTGATGATGATGATGATGATGTTGATGATGATGATGATGATGGTGATGGTGATGGTGATGGTGATGCTGATAATGATGCTGGTCATGCTGATGCTGATGCTGATGCTGGTGGTGAAGATAATATTGATGATGCCGATGGTGATGATGATGCTTGTGATTATGATGATGAAGAATATGATGATGATGATGATGATGATGATGATGATGATGCTGGTGGTGATGATGATGCTGATGATGATGCTGATCATGATGGCGATGCTGATGATGATGATGATGGTGGTGGTGATGAGGAGGAGGAGGAGGATCGGGAGGAGGGAGACGATGATGCTGATGATGCTGATGATGCTGCTGATGATGACGATGCTGATGATGTGACGATGCTGATGCTGATGATGGTGATGGTGATGATGATCGTGACGATGATGACGATGATGACGATGAGGATGATGATATTGTTGGAGATGATGATGATGATGATGATGATGATGCTGATGCTGATGATGATGATGGTGATGCTGATGCTGATGCTGATGCTGATGATGATGATGATGCTGATGGTGATGATGATGATGGTGTTGATGTTGCTGCTGATGATGATGCTGATGATGATGCTGATGATGATGCTGATGCTGCTGACGATGATGATGATGACAATGATGATGCTGATGATGCTGACGCTGATGATGCTGATGATGACGATGGTGATGATGATGTTTGTGATTATGATGATGATGTTGCTGATGATGATGACGATGATGCTGATGATGATGATGCTGCTGATGACGATGACGATGATGATAAGGATGATGATGATGATGATGCTGATGATGATGCTGATGCTGATGATGATGATGATGATGATGACTATGAATACGATGATGAAAATGATGATGATGATGATGATGATGATGATGATGATGATGATGATGATGATGATGATGATGATGATGATGATGATGATGATGATGATGATGATGATGATGATGATGATGATGATGATGATGATGATGATGATGATGATGATGATGATGATGATGATGATGATGATGATGATGATGATGATGATGATGATGATGATGATGATGATGATGATGATGAAGAGGAGGAGGAGGAGGAGGAGGAGGAGGAGGAGGAGGAGGAGGTGGAGGCGAGGGAAGGGGGAGGGATAAAGAGGAACAAGTGAGGAGGAGAAGGATGAGGAAGAAGAGTGGGAGTTGGAGGAGGAGGCGGACGAGGAGGGCCACGAGCAGAAGGACGCGGAGGAGGGAGGTGGAGGAGGGTGGAGGGAGGTTGAACATGGTCGTAGAAGCAGGGGAAGGAGTGCTGTGGGAGGGGGACGGAGGCGAGCATTGGGAAGGAGGAGAACACAGACAAGGAGTGATGACGGATCCTGAACGGTTGGCGGGGCTTCGCGGCGGAGGCGCAGGGCGCCCTGGACGACCTGCGCCTCGGGGCCTCCGAGGACCGCGCGTGGCGCGACAAGGTCGAGGCCTGGCGCACTCAGGAGCCCCACCCCCTCCCAGGAGGAGGCGGGGAAGGAGGGGGATGAGGTTGGTGGAGG